CCATTAAAAGCGCTTTATACACGTCTCATTCACCCATTTGCCCACGGATACTTTGTGATGCAGACTGGGTCAGCCAGGGATTGAACCACCAACCTTCCAATTAACAGACCTGTTTTACTTCCTGAGCTGCTACCCCAGGTATTTTAGCCTTTGAAAAATTCAAATTTTGAAAAATTCTGAAATAAAGATCTACTGAAAATGCTTAACTCAGCATACCGTAATTGTGCTTCATAACTTTATCAGAAATTGTATCAGATCAAACATTATTCAGAAACAGTCAGTTTCATCTTTATTCACTATGTTGCCATAAGTATTTGCTCGTCTACCTTCACACTCATATGAACTTGAGTGACATCTCATACTTAATCCACTCGGTTCAATATGATGTTGGCCCAGCCTTTGCAGCTTTATCAGCTTCAGCTAGAGTACTTTAAACCACTGCCTCTGATGCTTTGCATTGTGCTTGGTGATGTAAGGCTCAGATGCAGCTGCTTGGCCGTGGAAATCCATTCCATGAAGCTCTCGACACACTGTTCTTGGGCTAATCTCTAATATCTTTATCCTTCAAGAGAGGCCTGGGAGGGTGCTGCACAATATCTCTGTTGTTCCTAGGACTGTGCTCTTCTGGACAGAGATCTCTGATGATATTCCTAGGCTGCAGCCACTCCCCCAGTGCTCTGATTAGCACTGGGAACACTGTTGCCTTCACCCTCCACTCCAGCTTCATCCAGCCACTGGTAGGACTGGCCTGTGTATGTCTATGTGTTTGCAAATTTGTATTTCTTAATATAGCCTATACATTATCTGAACTCTTCATTCCTGTCAGTTCAGCATGAAAGTCATAGGTTGTTGAATATTGATGTTTTTTACAGTAATACTAGTTTCTCTCCTCCTCTCAGTCTTAGTGGATCTCCTTTTATTGCTCCCCATACACAGTTGTATGTGGAGCTGAAGGCTCCATGATTATTAACATTTATCTGTTTTGAAAGAAGATTTATTATAAATCTGAATTCTTCTGATTTTCATATTTCTCATCTTCCTGTGAATGCAATGTTACATTTTCCATTAGTATTTATTTCACTTGTCATGCTCATCCCACATTGTGCGTACATAACTTCGCAGTCACCAAAATTCGTATCAGTGAAGGAATTTTTATCATATCACCACTAAATACAGGATAAAGAAGCTGAAAAAGCGCCACAGTCCTGGTGTTTGCTAGTATTAATAATAATGGAGGTGGCATTATATTACACATTGTCACCAAGCAACCAGGAGCATGCTGGTCATTTCTTTGTACATTCACAAGGTCTTTGCACTGGGAATGTAAAGTTCAGACTGTCAGTTTTACAGTGTAATGCTCTGTGGCATCTGAGGGAGAACATTCAACAGAAATAGCCAAACTGCTGCTCATGCCAGTGTGCAAATGCATGCTTGCACACAGCACATTCAAAAGGCAGCAGGCATACCAACATAACTGTCGCTCACCACCCACCCTACTTCCCAGATTTGTCTTTTCCAACTTGGTCTGCTTCCCCAACATTCACGTTCAATTTTCCCTGTTTTGACACAATGGAGGTGATTTAGCATGCATCAAGAAGGCACCAACACAAGGGGATGGAGTGGGACTTGCATGGAAGAATCTAAAAAACATCTCAGTGTAGAGGTCCAGAGATAACTTTAAAGGGTGAGGAAGAAGTTAAATCAGTTCAGTTTTTGATTTTTCATCCGTGGATATGATCACATCATAGATGAAAGACACAACAAGCCTGCTTGCAATTAAAACAATTTGTTGGCCGATACAAATGACTCCTAACCAGATTTACCTTTACTTAATATGGTATCATTTGATTGTTTAAAAAATGTAAATCAAAATGTATTTATTTTTTTCTCATTAAAACTAAATGCTTTTGCAGGCCCAACACATACATACTAGTAAGCAGGGCGGTAGGCAAAAGAAATGGAAAAAGCATATATGTTCTTAATACAGAAACTGGATGGGAAAAAAAATTGACATATTAATGTGGTTTCTCACAGTGTATGATCTTACAAGGGGGCTCTAACACAGTCACAGTACGACCTTACCATTTGTGACCCAAATACTGAGACGGCAACAAACTTCTGTGGGCCTGAACACATCCTGCACAAAATAGACACTTACTTTAAGGATAAAGGTAAACCACGGTAGCCATTTCCTTGGGCGCTAGGTGTTGGCTGTGTCTGGACCTGGCAGTGCTTCTACCTAAAGCTTGAGAGCAGAACACATCCAGCAGCTGCTTGTCTGTCTGTTCTGTCTACCGGCGACAACACATGCAAACTTGCCTGCCAAGTATGTAGAATCACAGTCTGAATGCTTCAGTCTGTATTTCACAGTCCAGTAATCTATCCTATTGTTTACTGCCATTCCTCCTTTGCGCCTCGTCCAACTTTGAATCTGACCAGTCAGATGTGGGAGGCCAGCCTCTATAGTTGGATTAGTTAAGGCTTACACTACAAGTAAATATTTAGTGTTAATTTTGTTTGTGATTTATCATAAAGGCACCCACGAAGACGAACTGCAGCTCTGAATATAAAATCAGTGTTTACTCCAAAGATGGGTCTTACTTCCCCTTGATATAAGCTGCAAACATATAATTTAATGTAGAATCCTTTCCTTGATTTATTCTTCATATACTTTTGAAAAGATTGAATAATTAAATGCACACATTTCCCCATGAGCATCTGTGCTTTAAAAACAGCACTGGATATAAATTTAGAAGAAGCTTTTAAATGTGCCTGCACGCACAAACACCCACCGATCTACCCACACGCATGTACACACAAATTCCCATATAATGTATTTTTTTCTTATGTTGCGATGCTATTATTTCCCCATTCCTGCATTACAATGTGCTGTCTTGAAAACAACAAACTACCCGACATCTTGCTGTGCACAAACCACAGCTTCCTTCTCTTGCTTTTCATCTTTGTGAAATGGGATACAGCTCCTGCTCATTTGTCCAGCATCTTTTTGCCAAAGATCTCTGAAACAGAGTGGAGAGGGTCCCACAGGACTGTCTAGAAGAGAGAAGAGCTCAGCCAAAAGCAGGTATACTCTGCCTGCCATAACTTTGGGGAAGGCTCTGAAGTGGTAATGGCCACGCTGTATTCTGCAGACACTGTAGATGTGCTATAGAAGATTAGGCTCTGTACTAATTATAAACAGTGAAATGCTGCCAGCAATTTATTGCTTTGATTGTAAAACCCTGCAAAGGCAATATGACGAGAAGAAGCTACCTAAAGAATGTTATCATGCTTCTTAGACGTCTTGCGGCGTACTGTGTTTATATGGTCTCTCTAACCTTAAAGCTACACAGCCTGATACACATAAAAATAGTTTGTGTATCGGTAAGCCCAAATTATTAGGTTATTGCTAGGCTTCACATGACTTCAGCTTCCTGAACAGAAATGCTTGTAATTAATAATTACAAACAACCATCTATGTTATGACTGAAAACATGTGGTGGCTTATACTAACTGAAACCACTGTATCATAAGGGGGCTTGCCATCAAGCAAACCCCTTTGTAGGATTTCTGAACAGACTGAGGAGGACTTATCTGCTGTAATCCTGACCGAGGCACCATGATGATGATGGTACCAAAATAAAGCTACCCTTAATTTGAAAAAGTGTAAAATAAATTATAAGAATTTTACACTTTTGTTTCAGGAACATGAGAGTCCAGATTGATACAGCACGGTCAAATGATGTGTTGAATAATGCTAGTCATTTGTCACATGATTTATGTGATGATGATGGTGATGAGATAATAAATACTTTATCATCCCATATTTAGGAGGCTCTTTTGTCACAGCTGTTGAAATGATGATGAAATAATAATAATATGTGGCAGAGGCCTTTCTACTAGATACATAATAGTTTAGCAAAAGATAGTATTTGGTATGAAAGATTTCCTCTTTCTGTTCTTGTACAGCTGAGCTGAATCAGTCTTTTTGAGAAGGTGCTCCACTACCTGTCCGGTAAGTGGTATAGAGGGTGGTCAGGATTATTCATGATGCATAACAGTTTGTTCAGTGACTTTCTCTTCACCAAAACTTCACATGTGTCCCGTCTGCAGCCAATCACAGAGCCAGCCTTCATTTTATTCAGTCTGTTGGTGTCACAACACACTGCTGCTCCCCCAGCAGACCCAGCAAAGCACACTGCACTCACAAATGACCACTAGAAAACGTTTAACATTTAACTGCAAACACACTGAAGTATTCCATCTTCTTTAGTAAAAAAGAGAATCTGCCCATCCTCTTCTTGTATGTTGATCTCTCAGTTCAGCCGGCTGTGCAGACAACCAGGTATTTGTACTCCACCACCACATCAACATCCTAGCTCAGCATGTAGCCGTCCTCTTCCTTCTCAACTCGATCAACATCTCTCTGGTTTTAAGAAGCAGAGGAGTTCTTCCAGACCGCTCCACAAAAGCATCCAGTAGTGCTCCGTCCTCCTCCTGCAAATACATCCAACTAAACTATTAGTTGTACGGAAATCAGCAGCATTTTTTTTTCATTTGAAATGTAGTATTACAGTCATACTACTGTTACTTTTACTGTATCGAAGCATTTTCATAATCCAAACAGTAACGTTTTAACTGACACAGTAAATAGTTTTATCAAAAAACTGCAACATCTATATAAGTATTCACTGTCAGGTGTCAGGTGTCACCTGGACTGGAGTTATTCCTTATGTCTTTATCTTGTCCTTTATAAGAAAAGAAAAACTAACATTTTCTCCAGAAATAATCAAACAGTCAAAATGAAGCAGTTAATTGTATGTTGCACATGGGTAAAATGTAGATAACCCTCATAATTATTATACTAGTCAGTGCCATGGAAATATCACTAACGCGTGCAGATATGACAGTGCAGAAGGCGCCGTTTCTCTCTCCGACACTTTAGTTTTTAGAAGCTCACGTGTACCACCTTTCACCGGACAGCGAAGGCAACACGGCATGGCCGAGGTTTGCTTGTGGGAATTGTAGTCTGATTTGCTTGAGCCCTTCGTTGTGACGTGCCAGGCGAAACTACAAGTCCCAGATTGTTTAAGGCGGAAGTAGCGAGACAAAACACGGCTAGGCTACAGCACAACACGGCAGAGAAGATGTCGCGTGTTGTTAAAAAGAGAAAACTGGACGAAATCCGACAGGATAGGCTTTATTTTGACAGCTATTCCGATGTGACTATCCACGAGGAAATGATAGCGGACCACGTCCGAACCAACACGTACCGGACGGCGATACTGAAGAACAGTGAGTCAGTTCGGGGTAAAGTTGTTCTGGACGTCGGGGCAGGAACCGGCGTTTTGAGCATCTTCTGTGCTCAGGCTGGAGCTAAAAAGGTGTACGCCGTGGAGGCCTGCTCAATAGCGGAGCAAGCCCAGATAACAGTCAAACACAACAACATGGAGGACAGAATTGAAGTCATTCGAGGAACAGTGGAGACGGTGGACCTGCCGGAGACCGTGGACGTGATAGTGAGCGAGTGGATGGGTTATGCCCTTCTGCACGAGTCCATGCTCAACTCGGTCCTCTATGCACGCGACAAGTGGCTGAAGCCGGGCGGCATCATTCTGCCGAGCAAAGCCGAACTCTACATCACACCTGTTATTGACCCGGTGGTGGAGGACCGCCTGCACTTCTGGTACACAGTCAAAGACCAGTACGGAGTGGACATGTCCTGCATGTCCGGCTTCGCCCGGAAATGTATCATGAACTCAGACATCACTGTTAGCGCTGTGACCTGCGAGGATGTTCTCTCCCACCCGGCCCGCTTCGCCGAGCTCGACCTGCACTCGGTCACCCCGGAGGAGCTGCGGTCCGTGAAGGGCCAGTTCAGGTGCGAGTCGTTCGGCTCGTCGGCAGTGAACGCATTCTGCGTTTATTTCACGGTGACTTTCCCGTGCCCGGATAGCACGGCTCCCCTCGTTCTTTCCACGTCTCCGTGCAAACCAGAGACACACTGGAAGCAAGCGGTGCTGTACCTGGACGCTCCGGTGGAAGTGGTGCAGGACACACCGATTACTGGAGAGGTTAGAATGTATCCCTCAGAGGAAAACGCCAGGCATATATGTATCCACGTGGACTACTCTATAGGAGAGCAGAAGCGACAGTCCAAGACTTTTTCCATCCCTGATTGGAGCTCTGAGGCTCAGCCATAGCGTGCCATCAACACCAAAGTGCACTTCATTCACCATGTGTCACACCCGTATGCCCGAGTCCTCTTATTGTGTCATGGTTATCCATGGATCTTAAAATTCCTGGGAAAATGAGGCAGTGGTGTCACTTTATAATATATTGGCAAAAATATAAGATCACAATAGGCCTCCCCAGCAAATGAATGGACAGCTGCAGATTAAGACACAGAATAAAGATTGGCCAAGGAATTTAACCTTTTTGTGCATGTGCATGTCTAAAAAGTAAAAGCACATTTTCTTTATTTAGTGTTTGGTTTTAATTTTGTGTGTTTGATTAGTTCTTTTACAATTCATTAATTGATTGAATCATTCATGAAATAGCCCCTGAAATACAAAAGGAAAACAGCCTGTTTATGCCCACATCTTCAAATGTCTTGTTTTTCTTGTCTTAGTAGAAAACACCTTCAAAAATTAGTTGTTTATCAATATGTTTAAGATGATTTAAAAGTTTTGATACATCAGTGTGTACTAGGAAGAAACCTTCAGAAAGTCTGGCTAAAAGAAGAGTTTGAGGTGAATTTGTAGCTGCTTGTAATCAGTTGCTCTGAGGCAGGTTTATAAAATGTTAAATAAATTCAACACCATGCTGCAGGCATCTGATATTCTGATAAACTCAGCCATTTATATTGTGTGGAATCTCATCAAAATTCTGCATTCAAATGAGCATCAGACCAATATATTGACTTGGACTAGCTGCAGTCAGGCAGGAGGCTGCATCCTACATGACTTTGGCTGCTGTTCAGTTACTTTTTAATGAAGTACCAAATTGGCTCATTATTTTGGTTTAAAACTAGGCTGCACTGTCATCTGTTGATAGAAAACACCAGCCTAATAAAACCTTGTAATTCTACTAAAGCATTCTACATAAAAAAGCACAAGATATCTTGCCAGTATACCTGTTTTTGAACAGTTTGAAATGATAGTTTTATAAACTTTACCAGGCAGGAGTTTCAAAAAGTAACTTATTTATTGACTGAAGAAAAAAAAGTCATCTGTTTATGTCGGAGTTTGCAGTGCTTGTTTTCAGGTATAATGCAAAACTTTGATTAGTGGGCCAGAATCAGATTTAGAGAAAAGATTCATTTGTTCTTAATTTGTGGGTCTCAGTCCTTTTTCAAGAACTTTATTGCATTCAATCACGACACACACCACTCACCTTAACACTGCTGAACAACGGCAGTTCTTAGCAACGACACTCCAGAATGGGGTAGCTCCCTTCAGCAGAACAAAGTGCCCCGCTGCTGTGCTAAAGAGAAAAAATACCTCCTCGCGAGACACGACAAAGACCCCAAAGCATTGGCTTGACTTTTAAACCTCCCGTATCCCCATCTGATCAGAACTCTACAGGAGATGCTGGGACATGTTGCATCCATATCCCAAAGTTCCCAAATGAATGCAGACTGCTCCATGCCAGACACCAGTGGACACAGGCAGAGGTTCTGTGCCCAAGGAGCAGGAATGACACCTACTCATTATTGGAAAGGCGAGCTGCTGTTTCTGTAGGTGCTTTGAATCAGAGACAATGTGTTGATTAAACCTTTTGTAAAGACTTAAAGCCAAAGCTTGTGGAGTAAGAGCATGCAGCCTCTCTGATGCAACAGTTAAATACAGATTCCTGACAGTGTTCACTGATGATTGTTCTTTCAGGCCCTATTATCACCTGGCATTCATGTGTTTCTGCATCATCAATACAAACATTACCCATTGTCTAATGAGCGTATGTAAAATTAATCATGAGCTGTAGTGTCTGCAAATCAATCCCATTGTGTATCAATTCAAAAAGAAGTGAAAAGGCCGAATCGCTATAGCTAAATACCTGCTGTCCTTTTGTATTTATATTTTAATATCTTGTATATATTGTTATATGAAGTTCTTCTTTGCAACCCATTTTGGGCCAAACTTATATGCAGTTTTATAACAATGGAAAAATCTTCTGTCTGACAACTTACTGACATTCAATCATTTCTCCAATCGACTGCTTAGTGTGTTTTACAAAAGGAGAAGCAGATGCAGAAACATCATTTATAATATCCAGTTACTGATATGAGCAGCTTGAAATGTAACTAAGGTAACATACTGAGCTTATGGTCAGTTAGATGTACGAGCTTTATAAACACAAGCCGTGTCAGTTAAAGTCTAAAGATGAAGTGTACAACGGCACTTTAATAAATAGATATCCAGAATTAGAATTAATATTTGTATTTACTGCCAAATGTGCTTTACAAGCAGAACCAGGCAAAGAAATAGTTTTTATACTGTAGTTGTAAATTGATGTCTGTGGATAGGAGCTGGGCCAAACCTGGTTAAGCTCTTTTATCAGTCATTTGCTTCACTGGCTCCTGTATTACTGCTATAAAAGGGTCACAAAAGGGTTGTTTGCAATCAGAAACAAAACACGGTGAAATGCAATGGGCAGTGGTGCAATTTTTAAAAGAATTGTTCAAGAAGATGGATGGATGGATACTATCTCAAGTTTGTACACTTTGTTGTCTTGTATAGTCTCTTTAAATTAAAATTCAGCCTAATCTGATTCTATTAATTTATAGAATTTTAAGTATAAAATGTAATATTTTATACTTAAACTGGTTTCAGAAAATGTGGGCTTAGTTATGACCACATCAGGTCATTGTAGTCAAATGTCAGATGGGGTTTCCACTGTGACGGGCTGTGTTCTACCACAGGTAGCGAGCTGGGTGGGTCTTTGTGAGTCGTTTTGCAGCACAAAAACTACATTTGTGTCCATACACTTTCCACACAAATTTAATTCTTCTTTTGCACCTGTCCTAATGCACACCCACAGAGACTCACTCTCTTCTCGACTTCCACAGGTAGCTGAAAAAAAAGCCCTGAGGCAGAACAAAGGAGGGTGTCCAGAGAATAGAAATGTCAAATGCAGCGCAGGCAGCCGCCGTTAAGCCCAGAATCGCACTCTTGCATGCACGGCCACTCTCGGCTGCTAAATGCTAAACTAATTGTGATCCATTCCTGCCTGAAATGATTTGGAAACCATTAGAAACAAGTGTTGAAACTCGAAATGGGATTATTTGGGTTGCATCGCACAGCAATTTAGGAGCCAATCAATAGACAATGTGCTTAATCTAACAGATTTCAAGACTCATTGTTCACTGGAGGCCTGGCGAGTGAGACGGAGACAGGACAGAGTGGGACTTGCTGAACTGGAATCACAACATGAAGCCATCTTTAGATTTAATTTTATCTAACTATAAATGTGATGTTATTAGCGTATAGCATTATATTACTGTGTATTCAAAATTATTTGTGTTGAAATGAAAATGTTTACTTTTGTAGCAAAATCATCAGTACTACTAAAATGCAGGATACAGTTATTCACTGTAAAGATGAGCAAATGAAAATGCAGGAATCTAGTGCAGATTTATTTCTTGTAATAATAAAATTTCACAGTATAAAAATTCTGTCTTTATTTTAATCTAAAAGACTTAAACCATGTTGAATCACTGTGCAGAGTTCAAACAGTGAGGTCATAATATTGAAATGTACTGCTTTAAACAAAATGTCCCAACACAAAACTGTAAGAACGCTCACAGCCTTTTACATATGGATTCAAAAAAGACCAGAAATATATTTTATTAACTCACTGGCTCTATTAGAAGCCAAATTTAATAGTTTGGCACACAGATTAGAAATTTTGGGATTTTCTCCCAACACTGCAATTGGATTGGCTCGAGCCTCTTTAAGTTGGACAGAAAACATCTGTGATCAACAACAATTTATCACGGCTAATCTTTCTGTATGATTCAAGCAAGATATCCTCATTCTTGTTTTGTAGCTTTTCCAAAGCTGATTTGGCCGGCCTCTATGCCCCAGGTCGTGTTCTAACACCCAGTCTGAGCTTTTTGGCATTCTCCAGCAGCTTCAGTTCCTTCTTTCCTCTGTTGCCAAAACTCTCCCAGTTCATGCCAAAGAGCTGTCCTGTGTCGTGCTATGATGCCGCCGACACTGAAACTTGCAAGTCTATTTTTGATTTCATCTCTCCATAAAATTAGATGAAAATTGTGTTTCCTCTATCTGCCTTTTAACAAACTCTCACTGTTGTCAGCAAATGGTCCTTTATTGAATCTTTCCTGACTGTGTCTACAGTTTGCAGAGAAACCCTCAATGTATTAATGTCAAAGCCAACTGTGTTCCTACAGACAATGAATATACAGTTTTCAAATGTCTATAGTTTGGGGGTGGGGGTAGAAAGAGATGGGGAAAGGACGTACAATTAGACTTATACTCTGTAATTAGTGCAACAAATGTATGATATTAGTTAAAAACATATATAGTGCATCATCAAAAAGGGAATTCTGGAAATATTTGATGATTTAAACACCTTCAAACTAGTAATACTTTTTAATAGACTCCAGTAGCCACTACCGTTGAGGACATGTCATGAATTAATTCATGATGCAGAGCACTCATCCAGTATACCATCTTGTATAAGTGGAACTATTATGCCTTTCTACTGTCTAACAGTGCCAAAATCTCAGGCTTCAGACTGCTTTAAAAATTCAAGTTCCAAAGTTGTTGTTTTTTTCTATCTTTGCCTCTTTCTGATGTCATACAGAGAGGATATCCTTTACGATGGTCCTCAGGTACAGAGTTGTGGTTGCGAGCTCAGCAGGCCCTCGGACCAGCTGTTTGTGAGGGGCAGCCAATTGCACAAAAATGGACCTATTTGGAGCTGTAACCTTAAAGGGAGAGGCAATAAACTGAGGTTTCACTAAGGTCCAACACATGATGCATTATTACATTTTTGAACAGTGAATCATGCAAAACTACCCTGCTAGATTGTAAGTTTAAAATATATAGAGGTAGAAGAGAGCATAGTAGGCTATATATATATATATATATATGAACCCATTATATATAAGGGGTTTTCATGTTACATGTTATTATGGTGATATGGTGGCTTTGTCCTTGAGTTGTCAGCCTGTAGAAAGAACACAGTGTACAGTTCCTCACATCTGAGCCACTCAGCTCAGTTTACAATGCTCTCATTACCCTGAAAATTAATATATTTTGTTTGACATCTGTATTAACAGCAATCCAGCTGAAGAAAGAAACCTAACCTAACCGTACAGAATAACTTTGATAAAAAAAGGCTTTTCACCAGAACCCGCAATGGAAATCTGTAAAACCAGTTCACACTTTGTAAAATACTATTCGAAATGTGATGGATCTTAAGCTAGGCAATAGCTCACCTCCATATTCAACATT